CCCCAAAACCCCAAAACCCCAAAACCCCTAGCAGTTTGAGGGACTTTATAGGGATTTGGGGAGGGGGAGAGGGCTGTTGGGAAGGGGAAGAGGGGGGAGTTTAGGGAGGGAAGGAGGGGGATGGAGTGGGATAGAGGGGTTGAGGAGGGTAGAGAGGGGCTGGGAGAGGTAAATGGGCTTTTGGAGAGCAAGGTTTTGGTAATTGGAAGTTGAGTTTGGGTGGGTGCTTTTGAAGTGAGTTGAGTTTTGTGAACAGTTTAGAATTGCTTAGTATAAGATTGAGGTTTGAGTTGATATTTGTATATACTTTTTATTGTAGGAATATTATTCTACCTAGCTACTGTCTTTGAGGTTAAAATTTAATCCCGACATGGAATAGAAAGAGCCTGAACCAAACTACCACATGCCAAGCGAGCCACCTTCTCAGCAAGATATATTAGGTAAGATTAGTGAGGATTTAGCCTTTCTTTTGTTCAATAAAGGAATACAACAATCTGGTTCTCTCAGAGGTTCAGAAATAGCGAAGCTATTTCTGAAAACTTGCTAGAACTATCTTTTATATGCTTGAAGTAAGCATAAAAATGTAGTCACATAAAATACAGGTTTCTGAATCTCTGATATAATCTGTCTCATATTATATATACTACACCTTTATGAAAAATCATGACTTTCCCTTGTATTAAAGCACTAGGAGTGCAATTTTTACAATAAACCATCTCTTTATTCTTATTATTAGAGACCTGAAGGCATATAAGTCTCAAACTCTGTCCTTAAGAGGTCTGATAACTATAATAGCATTTTAAATTAGTGGAAACCTTTGGAATAAAATAACTCACAGATTTCCTCAAGACTCTTCTCATTACTTGTAGTAGAAGCAAGGTTATGAGAAGACTTTACAATGATGACCAAATTCTTTGTCTTTTATCTAGAATACAAGCTAGATGGAATACATTTGGCTATAGCAGTTTACTCTTTATATTTCCGAAACAGTGCCGTGCTCAATTGGCCAACAGTCAATGTACTCAAAATATAAATTAGTATTTCAAGGGAATTTATTAACAGTTTCATGAAAAATGTTTATGGCTCTCATGCTTTGCTTCAAGCATTTTAGATAATTTTGGAGCGGAATTCTTAAGCTCTGGTACTTAGCAAAACATATCTATTTCAATAACAATTAATATTGGGCCAAAAACTCTGGAGTTACAAAAAAAGTTTATGATTAGCAAGCCTATGGTCGTTAAATAACACTCAGACTTGTTTCATGGATCTCTCGAAGAAAGTCTACAGAGTTCTGAGTCTTTTTGAAATTAAAACATCTATAAATTATCAATACTTGCTTGTCTGTTCCTTGGCTGACTGTTTAGAATTCTAATCATACATATAGTTAAACATCATATTCAAAATGTGAAACCTGAGAATGAAGAAGGGTTCCTGATATTGCCTCACAACCATACTTGCACACTGGTAAAAATGAAGATCATATTTAGCTGAAAGGTGTCAACACAGAGCACACCAAGAAGGAACCTGATCCTGAAGATTGCCATGAGAGAGACATAGGAGAAACCATTTCTCAAAGACATATTAAGCCAGACTAAGACAGACTCTAATGGTGGAAAGAAGAAAGGAGGCAAGAATAATGGAATAAAGTTGCACCAGAAAAAGATCCTAAGAAGTAACACCCCTTTGAGAAGAAATTGACTTATATTAATGCGATTAATGATGAGCTGAGAGCTCTAGGTTATCGGGACTGAAGAATCTCCTGTGAAGATTTCATTGAAACCAAACTAGTTGATTTTATTATTATCACATGCATTATCCTGTATTATCTGTTAGTTGTAGTGTTCTTATCCATTGATGATGAAATTGACAATGATTATAATCTCAAGCTGAGTTTATAAATCTCAGAACTGGTGTTTTTGTTCATATTCTGTGTAGAAATATCTCTCTCAATCTCATTGGATTCGGGTGTCTCTTCCTTAAAGATTGGTGGAATATTGGGGATAGACCCAAAATAAATTTGGGTATTAAATTATAAAAACAAAGTTTGCACTAAAACAACAATAACTAAATGTATTGGTTTCAATCTCCCTGAAACCCTCATCACAGTGATCATCCTAGGCATTATCTTCATTTCTCTGGAGATCATCATTGGCGATGGAACTCTGTGCGGGATCTTCAGAATCGGAGGCCTTTTCAGGCTCCTCAAAGTAGGAATTTTGATCAGGAATTTGACTCAATTAGACAGAAGAGGAACCAAATCAAAGATATATATCATGTTTCCTCCCCAGCCGATACCGTAAATGAGATTCTGGCCTACATCAGAGATATAGTTCAGAATGATGACAGGCTCATTGAAGACCTAAACTATTGTATCAAGATGATATCCTCAGGTAAATTGTATGAGACTAATGTATTCGATAGGGATAATGGTATTGACGATAAGGGAATAGAAGCCCTTACTTGGATCAAATCTGTTCAAGGAAAGTCTAAGAACCAGAAGAGAAGCTCAACTAATGCTAAAATGATGATACAGAATAACCTCCAATGTATTGATATAAATTCTGTACTCAACCTAACTAAAGAGTCTTCAGGAATGCTGGATTGAGTCGATGCGATCAATGATTTCAATATCTTTGATTTCAAAGCAGAGGTGGAGGAGAATGAATTATTTGTGATAAGCTCATTTCTACTCAATAAACATCTGTTATTCCAAAATTCCAAAATTGATCCTGAGACATACTTCAAGTTTGTCAAGAGGATTCAGAACAATTATAATCCAGTCTGGATAAAATATCACAACAAGACTCATGGAGCTGATGTTTGCCAGACCTCATTCTTTTTCTTAGAAGGCTGAATTTTCATGAGTACCGAAAAGATTACGGATTATGAGCTCATGCCTATTGTTTTCAGTCCTAGTTGTCATGATTTTGAGCATCTAGTAGTCAATAACAAATATTTGGTAGATACCAAGGCCAAGTTGGCTCTAGAGTGAAATGACAAGTCTCTGCTAAAAAACCATCATGTTGCTTCAACCTTCATGCTCATTGAAAATTCGCAATATAATGTCTTCAAGGATATTAATTTAAAGGATTATATAGAAGTGAGGAAGAACATGACCAAAATCGTTATAACCACTGATGCTGGTCATCACTTTAATAAAGTAGGTAATTCAAGTCAAGAGTCAGGTGTGGTGACTTCGCACCTGGTGGAGATGACAAGATAATGGTAGTCAAGATGATGGTTCATCTTGCTGATATCACCACCATTAGTAAGCCCTTAGACCTGGCTCTTATCTGGACTGGACTCCTCTACGATGAATTCTCCAAGCAAGGAGATAGAGAGGGCAGCTAGGGAAAAGATATCTCTTTCTTAATGAATAGAAGAATATTCAACATTGCTGGCTCTTCCGTCGGGTTCATGAACATGCTGGTGAAGCCATTATATGGAAAACTTATAAAGATTATCCCTAAAGGCCAGATCTGACTTGAATATCTCTCTGAAAACATAAAAAGATGGGATGAGCTAAAAGAAGAATCAGAAAAAATCACAAGAAAATTATATACAAGAGTCTCTCATAATTATTGTTGGAGGTGAAGATAAATGCACTTTGAAAGTCTAGAAGGAGTGGTGTAAACCAGGCTCAGTTAAGACCAAGAGGCTAGCTCAAAATCTTTGGCATAGGAGACAGCTAGACTTTCATCTTCAATTAAAAATAATTGGATCATTAAAATCAATTTTGTTATTTTAAAAAGGGGTTTTGGGGTTTTGGGGTTTTGGGG